CCCCCATATCAGAAATGCTGACTCAACCTCACTTTTGGTCATCCTGGCAGAAGGCAGAGGTGAAGTCGGTGTTTAGGCTTCTTGCTAGCAGCCACCGAGTGCCAAGTCGACCTTCAAGTCAAATCAAGTCAGCTGTGCGCCTGAAAACAGAAAACTCACATTTTTAACATCCTCAAATCTGCTGAGTTACAAACAAATTTACCTCTGAAAAGTGTGAACGAATGGAGAAAAGAGCTATCCAGACCAGAATAGTTTTTGTATATAAGTGTAAACATTGTTAGTTTGGGTGTGAAGATGGACTTTATTGAATGGGTGTGTATGGGGCCTTTAGAGCTTTGGGAGTTAGCCTCAAGTGGTCACTCTGGGAACTGCAGTTTTCACCATTTAATCATTGGCTTTATTTCTAAAAAGGTGAAACGTGCTGCTTACTTTGTATAAGAAAATAAGCTTTATAGACAACAGCTATTCTTTAAACCAGATTTAAGACACAATTATATCTTTATTAAAGAAAGTTCGTTTTTATTTTGGGGGTTTTCTTTACTTTTGCAGCCACCTCCAAGTGGACGATTGAGGAACTGCAGTTTGTTTTTTTTTTGTTTTTTTTTTTTACTTAAAAATTATGACAATATAAATACGCAAGAATTTGATTTTTTTTTCAAGTGGTTGGGGTTTTTTTGTAGATTTTTCACTGTCATGTTTAGCAGTTTTTAAAGATTAACTTCCAAAAGCACGACAAAGACAAAGAAAAACTACATTGTTCTCTGAAAAGCCAATATCAGCTCTTTGCCTTTCTCTCAAATCTACTCCTAAAATATTATTTAAAGACAACACATGTTGTTTCGGGGTTTTGGGATATTCCTCTGAATTCACCAAAAAACCTGCCTTCAAAAACAGGTGATTTCAGTGTTGGTGTGCTTTCATGTCTTTGAGGTGCTGCTGCTACCGCTGCTGATAATAAAAATAAGTGAACTTGTGGGTTTGTGTCACTGTAGGCGGCCGTGGTTGACCAACTGCCTGGTCTTATTTTTCTACTGGCCAATTCTGAACACCTACCAGCCGCTTTGATGTCCCAAAGCATGGAAATAAAAAATAAAACTTTAAGTGATTCATGCTTCCTGAACTCTGACACAGTAGTGCCCTCGAAGATGGCTGCAGTTTTTTGGCACAAAAACAGTGAAGGACAAGGTCTTACCAAAGACAGCAACTCAAAACCAGAGTGTTTATTTTATTAAGACTGGTACTGTCATTGCAGGGACGATGGCTGCTAATAGAAGTGTCTGAAAGAAGTTAATTACACATTAAATGGAAAATATAAGGAAAAAACAATATCACATACGCGAGTGTGTCAAACAGGGTACGAGAGAGCAGCTCAGGCCGAGGTTACAGTCGAAGTCATCTGTGCTTCACAGTGAGTCACTACTCAAGACTTCCTCACAAAGTTTCATTGTTCCTGATACAAAGACTTTCTGTAACTTTCTCCTCTGTTACTGTAGTCCAGTGTTAACCACAAGCTGGAAGAACAAACAGCACTTGTGTCTCTGAGCTACTTCTTAACGATCCTTATTTATAGCTCTGAACCTCCCAGGTTGACTCTTTCCTCTGAATTGATTATTTCTGAGACATAACGTTATGTGACATAACGAAGATGAAACCTGCGTCTTGTCACATTGATAATTGATATTTGATTTGACAAAGACATGATATTTTCAGAGATGGATCTTCTAGTTTAGATTTACACGACTCACTGTAACTCTTATAAAGTTAAAGAAAACAAAGGTACCTCAGGATGAACGTCAATGGGTATTTCGCGCAAAATAGGTAACTGGCGTACGTGAAAGCAAAGGAGAACAACAAAAAGTAGAAAACAAGGATACCTTAAATACACTTTTGATAGGAACGTTACTACAAAGCGGACGTGCAAATATAAGAAACTTAAATTATTAAAAAAAAACAAGACGTTTGATTGGAGTATAACTTGTTATTGTATTTTTAAAGACTAAGGGGTGCCTTAATACAGACAACCCCCGGAGGAGGAGGAGGAGTCTTCCACAGGGTGTCTGTACGTGTCTGTGTTTTTGATGCACACCGGTTAACTGTTGAGAAGAGTAACAATCGATACCTGCTTTCATTTTAGAGTCTCTATACTCCAGAAAAAGTCGCTAGATTTGTCACTAGGTGTTTTTTTTTTTAAATTAAGTCGCTAGGCGGATCTGAAAAGTTGCTTCATCTAGCAACAAAGCCGCTAGGTTGGCAACACTGCTCATTAAGGGTACCTAAAAACAGATGTTGTCTTCTTAAGGATCAAAATCTCTCAACTTGGAACTGGAATTTGTCTAAAAAGTTATGAAAGGTGCAGCCGAACTTGTGTTTTTGGTTTTATAGTGGAAGAAAGCTAAAGGGTACACTGAAACAGGCGCTTATATGCATGTGTCTCCTGGTGTGCTAATCACAGACAGTAATCACAGTATTTGATAACCTGTGAATAAGAACACTTCAAAAACTGCATGTAACTGATTAACGGACACTAAAGGGTACCTTAAAACAGATGCTCATATTCATGCTAATCAACAGATGGACACTAAAGGGTAGTGTAAAACAGACTTCACTGGCTAAGCTTCGATGAGATGTCAAGAAGAGGCTTTTAAAAATCATCAGGATTGTAAAAGTGAGGATGAGAACCTGTTGATGCTCCAAGAATAACAAAAGAAACTTTTTCAGTAAGGACTGTTTGACACCCGTGAAGGGTACCTTGAAACAGATGCTATTTTGTGAGCGAGTGTATGAGACATCAAAGTGGAGCGGTTTCAAAGTGTTGGTATTTGAAGGCTTGGCCTGAGATCAGTTGTACTTTTGCAAGACTGCTTTGCAGATTTGCATGTCTTTTAAGATCTCATATGAATCCCTGGATAGAGACGAGTCTAAATATCAGTGTTAATGTCATTTTTTGGTTCTGTGAGTGAAGTTAGGTGCCTAAGACTAGAACAGATGACAGTAGACTTCGACAGGAGTGTTGTGTTGACACTGGAATCACTGCACACAGTGAGTAAACAGCATGGCATTCTGATTTGTTCTATTTGGTGACACACTAAGCACTCCCTGTGTAGACCCTAAATGAATCTGAGTCTCAGTGTGGAAAATACTATAAAGTGGCCCAACCAGGCATTCTAATAACAGATCTGATCAACGGGGGGACATGCACAACCAAACCTATCAGGCCTTCTTCAGCGCTGGAGAGCAGAGCAGCAGCTTGTGTTGGAGAGTAGATGTCTATCTATAATCAATACACCACAATCTGGCCTTATCTCCCCCTCTGATATGCTGCACAGCCACTTTTCCACACCCTCCAATGTCCTCCGGCGTCGCATCTGAGAACGTTGACAGCAATTATGGATTGCCACTTTTTTCCAATAATCCTGGAGTCAGCCCCGCCGCCTCCAAAACACTCAGAGATTCTGAATTTTGTAAAATAACTTTTCTCCAGAAAAATAAATAACATGACAACAGAGCTCTACTTTCCCCGGGTATCACAGGCTTTCTGTCTCGCCGCATTTATACTCCATGAAGCATTACTTTAACTAAGAGTGATTCCCACATCACGTTACCGATCCCCCGTGTTCCTGCTGCGAATTCATCCCAGTTGAGTCGCTCTTCCCATCATGCTGGTGACCTCAAAGCGAATTCTGCCCAAGGCGCCCAACGAAAAAGATTCCTCCTCCTGTCTGAGGGCGCCCCAAACCCACCGACCCACCACCTCTACCGCACCTCCAGGATGTTGTCCCCCCTTCCTTTAAGCCCAGGAGCCGACAGGGGCCGCGGATTTACAGATCCTGTCTCCGTATCCATATGGACGCGCCTTAAAGGAAGATCTGACAGACAAGAGGTTTTTCATGCATGTCATTTCAAACCCATGCGGGCTGCATTACGTTCATACTGGACTGACCCTTCGCCATTCTGCATATGGTACCTGAGGCAGAATCCGTCAGGGTCTGATACGGCGAGCCTGTTTTTTTTTTTTGGTATGCAAATGTTTTGTTTACATGCCCTTTTGTTTCGCCGTTTGTTATCCCTCGGATTTAGGTTACGTAGCGAGGTCTGCGCGGCCGCGAGTATCGGCGGCACAAAAGACTGATGGCACGCTAAGAAAGACAGAAAAAGAAAAGGCAGGGGGGAGAGAGAGGAGACAGAGCGGTGCAGAGTGGAAGATAGAAACGGCCCTGCTGGAGGCTCGCCACAGGCTACGTCTGACATCCCTCTCTCTGACGGACTGATGAGATTACCCTGACATTTTTTCCTTCCAACTTAAATTGCATTACCACGAGGATCTTATGTTAGGCAGATCTCCATATTATTCTCTGGGGATTTGGGTTCCATTTTGCTCTCCGCTTCATTCTGTTCTCTCCTTTTTCACTCACACTCAGAGGGATGAAATCTTCTTTGCGGCCTTGCATGCATTATCCGTTGGATCCCATTTCAGACACTGTGTAATATATTTGCCGCCATATATCATGGTAATGCGGTGGCCCTCTCCTGTAAACTGAAATGATGCAGGTCAGCGCGCTTGCGAGTGAACCCCGACATTTGATAAGGCGACTATCCTTGCTAGGTGGACTGTTAACAGAATGAACTAACCGAGTGATTCGCCTCGGGGTCAGTGATAATTAAAGATAACCCATTTGAAAAGCAAATCCAAACACAGACCGTGAACCCTACAGATTGGGGTCATGGGAGCGTGTTTTTTTATGCCACTAATTTACATTCAACCTTTGCATTCCAGCTGCAGCTCCACCTTGACATTTAAGGTTAACTGACAAATTAGGGCGCTGTTTTTTAGGGGGAGGGGGCGTGCACACTTGGGCGTCTGTGTTTGCAACCACAGCCCGCACTCCCCCTTCTCTCTTCCTCTCTCTCTTTCTTTGCTGTGCTGCATGGCGTAATGGTCTCAATTAGTCTAAAAGTCACCGTGGGTAATAATTCACCTCTCTCAGGCTTCATTTCCTCAGATTCAAGTCAAGCATAGCGCAGGAAATGACACTTCAGGAGCTTTTAAAAAATGATGAGGACAAGCGGAGCGATCAGGGCGGTAAATCAGGTGAGCGGCTCGCAGGATGGCGACAGCATGAGGTGGCGGCGGTGGCTGTCAGTCGGCGCGGTGACATGTTCATCAAGGCGCGGGTGACATCACTCAATCAGTGTATCCGTCAGCAGGAGGACTGGTCAGCGGCATCAAACACAGATCTCATAATTGGAGTGTCTCCTGCTAAAATCCATCACTGACACTTTAGCTCGTTTGAAAAATGGATGTACTCTAATTTTGGAGGGTGTCTGCTCCTACGCACAGGCTGTAGTTTTATCTTTGTACTCCACCAAATACCTGCCATGGTACTTGTACGCCCAAACAGCATTAATATTAGGATACTTAAAAGTGCAGCACAGATGGATGCAATTTCTTCAGGTGTGTTGCAGCCCACTGAGGTAGATGGATTTATTCCACCCGAGGCACATTCGCACAGATTTTCTAACTTTTTCTTTTTTTGTGACCTAATTTTCAGGTCCCAAAATTCTCATGACCCCAATTAGAGTTGTCAAGATGTAATGTGAATATTAGTTTGGCACACTTTCCTAATCCATTTTTCAAAAGTTGGGAAGAAAAATGAATTAATTCTACTCAAGTGCTGATATACCGAGTTGGATGATGCAGAATATGTGCGATAAGGGTAAAATACTGTATATTAGTAGTATGTTTCTCTCTGTTACAGGTTAATTTCTGTTTTCTTTTCAACTTCCAGTAATACTGTGGAGAAGTGGTTTAATGTATAAGCAGTTTCCCAATGAGACAGTGTAGTGTATCGTATTGTTTTGTATTATTTCATACTGTATTTTTTCATACCTCATTGTTTCGAAGTTTATTTTTCTGTATAATTTTGTGATTTTGTATCATTTTCTAATCAATTTGTATCACATCTCATTGTTTTGCATTGTTTAATGTGATTTTGTATCATATTGTTTCATTCTGTATTGTGTTCCAGTGCAAAGTATCAAATTCTTTCATATTGTATCATACTGTATTGTTTTATTTTGTTGTTTTGTATCATTTATTGACGGGTTGTTTTCTATTGTATTGTATCATTTTGTATCATATAGATTTGTAGATTTGTATCATATTGTTTTGTATCATGCCACTTTGTATAGTATATCATATTAAACTGTATAATACAGCATTTAACTGTATTTTTTGTGTACATGTATCAGAAGCTGATTTAACTCCTTCTCTCTATTATTTTAAATGAGACAGTGATAATTATTTCTCATTTTCGTCAAATAACGTTTTTCCTGGTGTCGACTAGAACTGAGAAAAATCCATCTTTTAGCTTCCTCTCACATGCAGTTTCAGTTTAAGTCTAGTGTTTTTTATTTGTTTGGTTGTTTTGATCAAATATTTATTGGTATAATACTTACAAATGCAGCCGTCAAAAGCTCAGCTTGACTTTAGTTTTTTTTTTTTAACAATATAAAAGTCATTATTGATGAAAGGATAAGAGGAAATAAAACAGACAAAAAAGGCTTATAAGGGAAAATAAAACTAGACATCAACACAAACTTTTCTGTTAGTTTAATTCCTCTGAACTCGCTCCTCAATACATAGTTTGATATGATATCAAACACATCTAGTTTGTGTTTTAACGTCTCTACAAGTGTAAAGACACGTCTTCTCTTCCTGTTTAACTACCTGTTTTATGCCTCTGTTGTCCACCAGCACCTTAATTTAGTTTTAAATGTCACTCAGGTAATGTCTCTGACATTATGTGCCCATATACATTCTGAGTGGGGTATTATATATGTGAATTTCCATGTCCTTAACCTAATTTACTGCTAATTGCACCTTGAGAAATGATGATAAATGATACAGCTTTGTGTCAGGTTCCATCGTGCTGCGGTAGGAGAAGCAGAGCAGGACGACAGGTATCATTTGCACCTTGTAAAAAAGTTCCTGGTAAGCACCCTGGAGACAGGGGATCAGTGGTGACCTTGAGCCCACCGCTGGATAAAGATCTTTTCCATATTCATTCCAATCCGGAAACCATGACTAACCAATCATTAAAAAGCTTATAGATTTGGCATCCCTGAGCCGTCTCCATTCATCATGCAGCTGTAGTGATAATAGCTGCTCGGCTTACATGCAACTCTCCCGCTGTTTTCCACCCCTAATAGAAGAACACCATTACAGAAGTGCAACTTGCAATTATCACTTTTCACGACAGTGCTAATTGATTCCATGTATTGTCCCCGTGTTATTGCATGAGGGCGCTTGCTCTCACAATTAGTGAAAATGATCCGAAGTGTCTGAACATGACACCATGGGCGTTTGCTTTGTACTAATAACATATAAACAGTTGTGATGTTGCTAATTTGAAGCTGAGATTGTTGAAAGTTCAAAAAGTAAAGGTTTGTTTTTAAGTTTATGAGACTTCAACAGAACGAGTGACTGATTACTTGTGAAACAGGTCTGTTAAGGATAATGTGCAGGTGTTCAAATTTAAAAAAAGACATCCAGACAAAAAATTATTCAGTGCGTTTACATGCACAGCTTAATCCGACTAAGCTCAAACTTGTTTTTTAAACTGAATCGGTCTTCTCTCCTTGTCCGCATATACATGCAGCTGAGAAAACTGAATTATTAACGTGAACATGGCCTCTTCTCCAAAACTAGAAGGAGATATGGGTCTTCTCAGCGACGTGTTTCCCGTTGACCCCAAACAACTGTCAACAACAACAACAGCAGCAGGTCCGTACCAGACGTCAGAAGTGTCTACAACTGCTGCTGGGCATTTTTGAGTAAGAAGATGGAGCATCGTACGCGCTACTTTTTCTGCAGATCAGACGCAGGCTACTCCTCTTCTCTGGTGTTTTTGTTCCTGGGTTACGGGGGCGTGGCGCAGGCGCACATGCATTGTCCGATCATACGCCCACTACGCTGGTTACATAGTAGAAGAAATCGAATTCCAACCTCATTATCTGGGTGTCTTAATCGGAGTTCTCAAACTCTGGTGATAGTCGGACTGAAGTGTTTACATGCACTTAAATTGTCCGGTCTTAATCGGAGTAAGGTGATAATTCGGTTTTCTCGAGTGTCATGTAAACGTACTGAATGTTCGAATTACCAAATTTTCACCACACTGCTGCTCAGTTGGTTTAACATACTACTACTAATAATAATGATAATAATACTTATAAACTTGATTTGTATAGCGCTTTTCTAGAACAACTGTCACAAAGTGCTTCAAATGAATAAAAGGGTGAGACAACAAGACATTAAAATCTACAAAAGTACACTAGTTGGTTTGTAGTCTGGTCCGGGGGACAACCAGCAAACCCGGGTCAGAGGATCTTAGAGTCCAGCTGGAGCTACAAAGCTTCAGCAGGACTCTGATAAACGCTGGAGCTTGTCCATGCAAAGCTCTGAACACATGAACAAGTAATTTAAAGTGGATTCTGATTTGAATGGGGAGCCGGTGTAAAGACCTGAGGATGGGTGTGATGTGGGACCATTTGGGCAGTCTTGTCAGGAGCTGGATAACAGCAGGAGAGCATCTTTGTCTATGCTTTCAGGATGAATATATCTAAATTCAAACTTGTGCACAAAGACGGTTAATAAAATGTGACTCATGTACTGTCCACAAGGGATTAAAGATCGCCCTAGAAGTCTGGAAACACTGGTGCATTTTTACAGTTTGGATGTCGAACTTTCGTCTTTCTTCTAAAGTTGATATCTGTGCAACACGGTTCATATCAGTGTCGTGCAAATCCATCAGTTAGACAGACTCTGTTCTTCTTCTTTTTCTTTTGCTCTGCTCTATTTTTGATCGCCACTTGGAGAGACATCGCCCACATGTTCCTCGATGGTTTCTTGTACATATATCAAACATCCACAGACACAGAAATGATTAATTTCTCATCCCTCCAGACTCTCGAGGAACCCTGAAACCCTTTGAACAAGTTCAATACAGTCAAGTTGTCAGTTTTTCGAGACGAGAGCAGATTGAGGGTAAAGAGCCTCGGGGGTAATGGGATGAAGTCTGTTGCCACATTGTTGCAACATGCGTGGGATTCCCATGGGAGGGCTGGAAATGGAGTCAGGACACTGCTCCTTCCTGACATCTCAGGCCCACGTGCCACCGCCTTCACATCTCTCCCTCTGTGTTTGATGTCCAAATTGAGCTCTGCTTCATCGCCTCCATGGCTGCCTCCCCTCTGTGCTCCTCCTCCTCTCATTGCCTCTCCCATAGTTCACACAGAGGAGATGTAGAAACTCCTGTTAAACTGATAAATTGGCTTGCTCATACATATATGTGGCTGATTTTGGACTGCTATTGAAGTTCCCTTGAATAAAAACGGATGTTTAAGTTTTTATCAAAGCTGTTTGGTGTTTTTCTTCTCGCCGCTCTCTGACTCAGTATTGACAAAGTTCTTATGCACGGAATAATTTGCCATTTCCTGCAAAAATGAGAGTTGTTAATGGACCCTTTTTTGCATTTTTGGAAGGTTTACCAATTTATTTTTTTGCAAATTCGACTTCAAAGTTATCACGAGGCATAGACGAGTTTGCATGCAGGTTAGCACCCAACTTGCTCAAATGCTTGATATTTTTGCCTCTAAGTTAGTAAAATTTCTATGAAAACAGAAAATTGATGATTTTGTAATCAAAACTAGCTGCCCACTGAGCAATAAACGGCTGTTAGACATCGAGTTTTTCAAACGTCTAGATTCTGCATTTTTTTAGATGGAATTTAGATGTTACACTTTAACCCATTTTTCGATAACTATTTCACAAACCAACTGTGAGTTGCATAACTGATCTCCAAGTACTTGGGTTAGGGGTTAGGTTTGATTTGAGATGCAATGATACCCCCCACTGTCGTCAGCTGACTTGGCAGTTTGGGGTAGGCTAGTCAAGGGCTTCCACTGGCCGGCGCATGTTGATATGTGGACTTGTTCCCAGTCATGATGAGTCATCAATCTGTGTGTAAATGAAAATCATGTGTGGGTAGTAAGTTTAAAAGCTCAGCTCAGTTGGTACGCTTCGCTGTCTATTATTTTGACTGTGTGTTTGTCGATAAGTTAAGAATTAGAATGGGTATAGTTAAGGGTTATACAAAATTAGTTTTATCTAATAAGTCTAATATATCTTTGGGGTTAAGGTTAGGGTGAGTTAGTACAAAGTCTCAGAGGATGGGGGAGGAAGCAGGTGGTCAGACTGCAACCATTCTGCTTCTACAGGGATTCGAGTGATAGAAGGAGAATAGATAATGCCATAGAGACTAGAGACTAGAGATTCTCCTCGCCTGTTGTTTTTTATCCTCTGATACGAAAAATGGGGGTAGGGGGTGGTTTAGCTATGATAGGGGTTAGTAAGGTCAGGGTTCGGGTTGAGTTAAGGTTAAAGGTTAGTGTTAAGTGTATTAACTAGGGTTAGGGTTGGGAGTAGGGTTAGGAACCAAAAACAAAGTAATTTACTGTGTAGTATATATATATCCCAGATTTAGACTTGGTCTAAACTTGTTCTAAGTTTAAGACGTCTTGAAATATTTCATTTTTAGACCTGTGGTAGCCTGATTTTCAACCAGTCGTCTGCATTTAGACGTCTATTAGACCAAAAATGCTTAGTGGGTGCACATATCTCTCATTTAGTGCAATAAATTTGGCTCATGTGTCAATGTTTGATTATCACTTTCAAGAAACATTCAGTGCCAACCATTTAAACTATGGAAGCATAAAGAAAGCTACAAAATGCATGTATTATATACTCATGGATTCACACGTTTACTTGTTATCACTTTAAATCCACTTCTAAAAGCGTCTTCAGTCTGCAGAAGTTTCAAAGAATTGAACTTTAAAAAGATTCAAACACATTCGTACAGAAATATCTGAGTATGAGACGGAGAAGAGACGGGCCCTGACGAGCACAAGGCCTGACATGCCTCTCAGCCCTGTCGACCTCCCGCTGCCTAAGTAGTCACAGTTTTAGCTTGAAAATTTGCCTCATTGGTCAGATGAGTTTCCACACATTTCACTTTGAAATAAGAGCAGCAGAGAGATGGACCCACCGCTGTTCCTGACGTGTTTCCCCGCTCATCTCGGGCCGTTCTTATTACCGCTTTGCAATTACGAACACATACAAGTCAGAGCCGCTTTGAAATCGCACCTCAGGTTAATTAAAGGCGCCGTGGTTTTTTGACAATACTCGTCTCAGTCAAACTGGAGTCTGAGCTGGACTTCTTTTCTCCTCGGCTCACTTAACCCCCCCGGCTGACCCTCTTTGAGGTGTGTCGCCCTGGTGCTCAGCTGCAGTGTGTGTTTTTGGTGTGGCTGTCGCTTCGCTGTGGCACACGCTGAGTACGCGGACAGGAAGGAGCTGCGAGGACCGGGGGAGGTGCTGGCGAGGCCGCTGGGGTTACGGGGGTGGTTGGAACAGATTGGTTGATATCACACTCTCACCTCCAGGGGATAAAGGACCGGGAGGCCTGAGGGGGTTTGTGTGCATTTGTGTGTGTATGACAGCGCGGGATGGTGGGTGGGTAAGGGATTGTGGGAAATACAAAATCCTCACATTGCTGAGTTTGGACGCTGTGACCCCTCGCCGACCCCCATTTCCTGTCTCAATTGCCTCAGCGTGAGCCGGGCTCCATTTCACAGCACCGCTGTTTCTTCTCTCGTCTACAATCATGTGGACACATGTGGGAGTCTGAGCGTGGACGTCTCTATCATCATGGGTAAATAATGACACGGGGTCATTGTGTGATCATGCGTCACGTTGGCTGGTGATCTCTAACGGCGGAGACTCGCATTTTAATGAATTTAATTGTTAGAAGGAGATTCAATTGGCCGACCATGAATTAAAATCAGCTATTAGAATGAAAATTTCACTTCGATTTAATCACAGTCTGCTGCAGTGAAGCGCTCCATTACTTTGGCTTTCTGCTTAACTGAACTACAACACCACGTCTGTACGAGTTTGGCCGCTATAGAAACGTGAATGACGCAGAATTTGATGGTTCGAGTTTCATTTAAAGCCTAAAAGTAGAGCAAAATTAAATATGCTGCCAGCAGAGGAAGTTAGACGGGGACATGTTTAACATCGCGTTGCATCACCTCCTCTTTTCATATCACTCTTCAAATGTTTGGGAACCAAAGAGACCGGTTTCAGGGGTTCTTGCCTGATTCAGGTTTGGACCTATTTTGTGACATATGTTTACAATAGGTGACATGTCAGCTTCTGGACTCTTCGACTACATAGACACGCTGCTGTAATGCATGCAAAATGGGTTCATTGCTCCAACACACAACACCGCCCCCCTAAACTAAAACCTAACCTGCTGTAACCCCCCAGAACTAAATAACAAAACCCAACAATGTAAAACCTGCTGGAGAAAACAGAAACGGTTGATGGGAAATAAAGTTAAGGAGGGAAAACCAAACTAATCTCCTCTGGGCATTGTGCTCAGTGTGCTCTGCTCCCTCTCTTTATCACCTCCTCTTACCTGAATGCTGATAGGACTCAGGTGTGCAGCAGCAAGAGGGAGGAGGGACCAGAGAGACAAAGAGAGAGAGACCTGAACTACATTTAATAGAAAAATAATAAATAATGATAAAATAATAAAAAACAACTCACCTCCTCTCTTCCAGCAGCCGCTTGTTTGTAGCGAGACCTCCAGGCCAGTCCATTATGGACTACAGCGGGGTTTCGCAGCTAAAGGAAGAACATTTATGATCATTTCTTAATGGAAATGCGATCAGACCGAGACGCTAAGGCAGAACAACTACCGCGTCTGCAGTGAAATGATTAATATGGTGATTATTACTTCAAGGAAATGATAAAGAAATGATCATAAATGTTCTTCCTTGACCCTAACTTAATTTTATGCTGGAATATCCCTTTAATGGACCAAAGGGCCAATGGTGGTGGACGGCTCCTTTCTCTTCACTGCAGGACAGAAAGATTCAGAAGATCTTTTGTACCCACAGCCATCAGACTTTCAGAGACATGACAAATGAGACGACAGACAATTGAATTTCCCTTTGGGGATAAAATGAAGTTCTTCTTATTGTTTTAGAGAGATTTACTCACATTGTGTTCTCGTTCAGGAATATTATTTTAAAACTGTTTGAACTATTTGCTCACAAAGTCTCTCACAGAGTCGTGCATCTCTTTCAAGTGATTTGTAAACTATCAAATTCTGTCTCTATCAACATAACTGCACAGCGTCTCCGCTCTGATGGGATTAGGTTTGTACATGTTGATGTGGATGATGTCTTGTGTAAGCATCATTGTGAATGTGCGTGTCTGCCGTTGTGTATTTTTCCGAGCTGGAGTCATGCAATACCTTCTTTGCGGATGGCCGTGATGGACAGCATTATGAAAAGTTTTTTTCTGTCTCCCTTTCATGTAGGCGTAGCCATTAAAGATCAGCCGTCAGCGACCAAATCAAGGTCGACATGTGTAAGGAAATCGCCTCTTTTAAAGAAAACGCTCCCACATCAAAGGCTTCCTCCAACATCGATCATCACAACACGACCTGAAGGCAACAGCTGCTTTCTATATTTCTCGGTTCCTGTTGTCTCAGATTTTTTTCCCAGGCTGGTGACAAAAGATTCACGCTGGTGTTAAATGATCTCCGGTTTACGTTCCACGAATGATGGTTTCTCTTTGCTTTTGAAGACACTGACCTTTACAGCTTGGTAATGGATACGGTGCCCCAGCGCCGACAGTGATTCATGCCCGTTCTGATGTCATAGCTCGGAGTACTTTCTAGGATCTTCTTTCATCACTGAGATCAGAACGACCTCAGCTACGAGGAAACATGTCAATATACTGTACGTCACAATAAAAACTAAAGTACAACAACTGTACTGTACATGTAACTCAAAACATGTTTATCCCCAAACTGCAGAAACTGAGTGCAATGGTACGGTGGCCCTGAAGGACAACTGCACTAACAGTTCATGATGCAAAAAAGAGAAAGAAAGAGTCTCACAAAGTGCAAACAAACAAGTATCCATATTTACGAAACACAAAAGCTACACTCAAAATGTTAAATAATTCATGGAGCGGAAAAACTTTTTATGATCAAACTTATAAGTATTGCAAGAAATGCCAAAATGTCTACCTAAACCTAAAAATATTGAAAGAACACGAAAAATAATACTAAAATAAAAGTCATTAGTGTATAAATGATAGAAAATAATAAACTTAAAAATAGAAAATAGATTAAAATTTAAATAAAAATTAAAATATAAAATGGAAAAAATTGAAAAAACAATAAATTTACAAAACCAAAAAAAAAAAAACAGGAAATTATTTTCTATATCGTAAAAGACTTACTTAAATAATGTTCAGTTCATAAAATATAAAATATTACTATATTTAATGTTTGTGTTTTGTAAAATAACTGAGTTTGGTTATATGATTTTAGGCTCTGTGAATTTAATTATTTTAAATTTTTGTGTTCGGTGAGATTATTTTTTATCATCTTTTCAAAAATTCTGTGATTAAAAATTCTTTTTTCACAACTTGTGTCACATAAAATTGCTGTGTGTGGGAAAATAATTCTTTCTTTCATGAGTTTTTATTTTAAAAATAATATAATGTTAAATATAATAATTCCTTTGCAACTGAAAATTGTTTCAGCAACTTTTTTTCTCTTTTAATTTTTTTTCCTGTGAAAATTTGATGGGCTTTCTGTAATCTTGTTTATTGTACTCTGTGTATATTTTTATGTTGCGACATGAAACACTTTTACATTTGAGAAATTGTTGTATTTTTATGAAATACTTCTGTTGCATTAGTTGTTATTCGTGTCACTGAATGTTTGCCTCTCTGGGCCACCGTATAATGGAGCATTTTCTCCCTAAAACGTTACATCTTCCGCCTTCACTTCAAACGCTCAGAGAAAGAGGCTTCTTGCTCTGACATCAGAAACCGTCACGTGAATTTTCAGTGATAGAAACTCATTTTTCCCATTATTCTGACTGCACCTGAACGCAGAACAAGGCGGTCGTTTGAACTCTAAGTGGCACAGGGGTCGTGATGCAGCTCCCTGTCAGTGTTGGTGACAAAAAAGGCTGCAGTGCAACAAACTCAAACAGTAAAATGTCTCAGAAGAAATAGTTGTCTGCAGGCAGAGTTCATGATCAAGGCCTGGTGTAATTTCCTCAGATTGGGTGTTATTCACCATCTCTAATGGTCACACAGAGCGCCGCGCTCTGTGTGATGTCTCAGAGCGTTGAAGGCTCACACATCTCCCACTGAACGCTGACTTTTTGTCACTTCCTAAGACGCATTTGTCTTTAACATGCAGGACTAATAGATTTACAGCCTCACAACACAGATGAGCCATAAATACCTGTGGAGAGGTGATAGTATTGTTGGTCAGCAGTAATGAGTTGAGGATTACTCCGCCAGGTGTAACTACCTCACAGTGTCTGGCGCTGGGAGACGCTCCCAATCCACTCGCTCTACCTGTCTGGACTCTGAAGAGCCCGGTACAGGATTACACAGTTATTTCCAGTCCAGGAATTACAATCCCCTCTGTCCATGCCAAAAATACAGATAACAAAGCAGGTAACTTTGAGTGTACAGTAAACACCACAGGAATATTCCTCTGTGTGTGTTTGTGCACACCTGGCCACTAAAGCAGATCCAGACTTGGATTCTCATAACGAGTCATTATAAGATAATTAAATTTCATGTATTTGTTTCATGGGAATCAAGGAGAAAAGGATGAAATCTCGCCCCATTTGGCACAAAAAAATACTCTTATTTATACGTTATTGGAGGGAAAGGCAATTAGGGGCCTAAAGCTGCTGACTGTCTTGAGGTTTTAAAAGGAAAACTGTAACTGGCTGAATTTTATTGGCTGATTTGACATTGTAAATAAAAGAAAGATAAACATGCCAGTAAGCCTGGAAAATTATTGGGGGCCAATAATGGCTGAATTTTATAGGCTGATTTGACATTAAATTTTAGGATTTTCAACCAAAAATCAGTGATGGGGAAAAAATAACAAAGCACTTTGTTTACATTCACTATAAGGACAGCTAGAGGGCACTTTGTTTACAGTTTATTCACAAGAGAGGCATTCAAGATGTACTTTGTTTACATTACTCACTGTAATGACATCCTGAGGGCCTTTTGTTTACATTTTATTCACTCAAAGGAAACCTAAGAGGCATTTTGTTTACTTTTTATCCAGAGAGGCATCTAAGATGTACTTTGTTTATATTTTGTTCACTAAAGGGACATCCAGAGAGCCCTTTGTTTGCATTTTCCTCCCTGGAGGGACATCTAAATGACACTTTGTTTACATTTTATCCACTAGAGAACCATCCAAGATGTACTTTGTTTACATTCCCAAGCAGGACACCTAGGGGACATTATATATTTATTTTATGACTATGCTGGTGCGGCTATAACTCATTATAAACCTTAAAAGGGGGAGCCAAAGGACACTTTAAAATTTTGACCCCTGAAAAGACACCAGAGAGAACTTCATCTACATTTGATCCTCTAGAGAAAAATCAGAGAGGACTCCGTTTACATTTGAACCACAAAAAGGAAACCCAGAGAGAACTTCATCTACATTTGATCCTTTTGAAAAAGAATTAAAAAATGGGGGACTCTGTTTACATTTATTTACCTAAAGGACATCCAGAGGGCTCTTTGTTTACATTTTGTCTACAAGAGGGACTTAGTTCAAATATTAACATCATACTTGTATCCAGAGGGTACTTTGTTTACATTTCAAGCACTAAAAGAACATTTAAATTGTACCTCGTTAACATTTGAACCTCTAAAGTGGCACCCAGAGTGAAGTCTTTATGTTATTTCCACTGAAAGAGCACCTGTAATGACTTTCTATTATATGTTCCATGTACCACAGAGGCCTCAAAGTGGGTTTTTCTTTCTTTTTTTTTCTTAAATATCAATCTGAACGTGCATTTTGTTCTGATTTCAAAACTTGCTCTTAGGGAACTCACCAAAGTCGGGAGATGTAAAATGTAACGCCATTAGAGGAGGATGTAAATGCAAAGTATGAAAGAGAAATACCTGCAAAATCACATCCCCCAGTTTGCACTTCCTATGTGCTAACTTATACGTGCATCCCCCTTTTCCTAAATTCCATTAGTGCGATCTTTAGGAGGTGAAAAATATTCCCTTGCTCTCTTTCAATCAGCGGCAGAGTCGGCTGGAATCAAAAATGTAAAGACAGCAGCCTCTTTTCTATTCCAGTTGCACTCCACAGTCCCTCTAAATCACCCCTAATGGGCTGGTAGAGGGAGCACACTCTGTATCACTGTATCAATCATTCACTCTGTTTTCCTCCTCCTGGAACCATCCGCAGGATCACTTTGGTGCTTTAATGAGCCATTACAATTCCTATCAGACAATCTCTGTGCCATGTGCGTGCACACACACACACACACACACAGGCGCACACACTCACACACACATGTTTGTTTGTCCACCCGTGCGTGCGTGCTCTAACTGTTGTGGACTTACTCATGCTGATATGAGATTGTCTCTGCAGACTTTTTGAGATAGCAGTGATCTTGATTTCTCACCCGCGTTCTACGCTGGCGTGTTCCTCCCATGCTGTGTGTGACTGCACGAGCATGTGTGCGAGTGGGAGCGTGCGGCGGACAGTGGGCACAGGTTATAATTGCATTGCACTGCCATCCCACTCGGTCTCTACACCCATCTGTCTCTTTAATATCCAGCTAAGCACTCTTGACCTTGAAGCATCCATGACAGCAGAGCGCCGCGTCCACACCAACACATCTACGGCTGACTTCTCCCCGAGACCGCCGGAATGATAGAGAGGTGGGGGGATGATGGAAAGACAGCGAAAAGAAACAGGGAGTGGAAAAAAGACAAGGTGCGAAATGTTGTTTCGGAGACAAAAGGTGAACAAGAGAACATGATGGATAGATCGAGCCTCTGCGAGAAAGATCATACAGAGGAAGGCGCAGTGCATCGGACAAAGAGATGCCTCCAAGGTCACCGGTGAAGTCATTCAATTTGGAGCTGACTGGAGTTTTACAAAAGGTCGCCCACGTGGACCTCTCCAGAAGATGTTGTTATTTTACCAGAAAATCATGCAGGATTAGCTGGGAGTCGAGGAAAGAAAAGACATGTTATTTGCCTCCTGGCGTTCCCTTTATGCTCCTCATAAGGGTGGTTCGCTCTTGAAGCAGTGCCTTTGGGCTGTTTTAATGAATATTTGAGCTGACTCTTTTTACTGTATAATATCACAGAATGTGCCTTAAAGGTACAGCGCGCAATTAGATCTTCAATCTAACCTAAACTTATTTGATTAGACATTTGAACACAGCTCAGAGTGTTTTACCCTCATCTTTGGGGTCTCGCGGTGCATCTTGATGTGTTTTTTTCACGTGCTGGCAGGTTTTTGTCAGGCATGAAAATTTATCTGTGACTACTCTATTTAGATAACTTGTTATTCTATTTAAGATGCTGTCATGTGATTGGTCCACTACTTAGATGCATACTGTAATATCTCAACAACTATTGAACACATTGCTTTATATTTTGGTACAACCACTCAGGTTTGCCATTTGATACCATATATTCTGCATTTCCCAGGACACGACCACGCAGGAGCGGAGTCACGCAAAGTTAATTTTGAGAGTTGAGTCGAGTGTCCAAAGTCCAAAACTTCCATTCCAAACCCCAGACATTTGAAAGATTTTATAAACTCCCCCGTAAAAAGGCTGGACAGTCCCCCAAAAAAGAGGACATGTTTGGGTAAAAGAGGATGCATGGTCACTCTAGATGAATTATACAGATTTTTATCATCTCAAGACTTTCCTCTGTCGCCTCCATTTTTGAGTTTTTTGGGAAATATCTCAATAACTTTTCAAAGAACTGCCAGTAAATGTCAAACTGTGCAAACAAGAAGTTTTTGGTATTTTGTTTTTCAGTTTTAAACGTGACAGTTTAAACATCGCTATGATTTTTGGAGCCAAATTTGACCAAATCTGAATTTCACTGGCGTTATAAATCACTTCAAATCAAACCAAAACTACAGCTTTCGAAAGAGCAAACCTGCCACATCACCTATTCCCTCTAATGATTGATCGTCTAGTCAATCTAATTTAAGGTGACCAGACGTCTCAGATTTCCAGGGACAGTCCCCGTATTGGATGATCTGTCCCCGGCTAAACCTGTCCCCAGAAATGTCCCAAATCTAAGAGTTACATGAATGAGAACAAAATGTTGCGTGCAGTCCTGAACAACAGTTTTTACGGGCGGCGTGCGCTGCTACTAAGTAGTATGAGATGTTATCTGTGATCACACAGCCCATGCCCATCTGCTCCGGATGTCCCTGGATTTCAGTACAGAAATCTGGTCACCTTAATCTAATTGCATGATTACGCGAGGAATATAATGCTGTATACTTGGTGGAGACCTCTGGTGCAGTTCCATGAATGTCCACTTGAGGCAGGCTCCAAAAGTCTCATTAACATCCATGTTAAAAAGCCCAAATAAAGAGGTTTACAGTTATTAAAGCAAACCTATTATGGAGATTTAAGTGAGATTTGATCGACGAGTTGTCTAACAGGCAGACATGATATATAAGCTGTATATCAGAAGACTCTTCGTCTTTGTTTCTAGGCGTTTACGATATGGCGCCTGCATTGGACAGGCTTCAAAACACCACCTCGAAAACCGATGAGTGACATCGCCAAGTCTAATCCAAAGGACGAAACCTTTATTCGGGTCATTCCTGAAAGCAGTGACAAGCACGGCCCACCTGACCGACAACCTTGCTCACCCTTCTCGGCTATCAGAGCCGAACAACAGGCTTTACGTCCGTGTTCCGTTCGCTGCGTCTTCGTGTCCTCTTATCAAGTCAATGTCAAACAGGAAGGATAAAGATAATTCTGGGCCAATCTGGCATTTCAGGTGTACTATAGCGGGATGACTTATTAAGAAAATGTTAACTCCCTGCAGCGTGGTTATCTTTATTGAGAAACAAAGGATTAGTAACATGATTGATGGGCCTTGTCTCCGAGGGATTATGCTGTAGAGCACCACTAATTGCTCTCTCTTGCTCCCTCCTCCTCTATTTATCTCCTTCTTTCTCTCTCACTCCATCCACATCCACGCCCCCCCCGGCCAATGCAATACACTTTCAGCTATCACCTTTGCCATCGCAGCTCGCGGTGCACGGGGTTGCGGGTGTCACTGACAGGCTGCAGGCTCCTGGGTAAGCACTAAAAAGACTGAACTGTCCTCAAAGTTGTAGCCAGGGGACTTCATTTTGCATTCAGGCTCAAGTGGTTTGTTGAACACACGCCAGGCCTGAGCCAGAAGGACAGGGAGGGAGGGAGTCCTAACCCTGTATGGGTATGGTAACGCAGCGTGTAATGGACTACTGTACAACTGGAAATAATGTGCTGAGTCATTTAGGAAAGCTATTAAGCTGCCTGGGTGACTTTGAAATTCACTAAGCCTGTTCACCCTCTGCATTTATTCAGGAATAGGGCAGCTTCAGCCCCCAGCTCGCTCGCTCGCAAGATTCTCCCCCTCCTCATCCCCTCTTCTGCTCTCCTCTTTGACATCTCCCTAACTAAATGTTGAAGAGAAACTTAATTACAAATAACTGGGGGAGAGAAAGCTTATCATTAGGAGGAGGCATGGAAAATAGTATGGCTTCTGCCAGCGAAGCCTTGTGAAATACAGTACGGCTGCTGCGTGTTTCCCCGCACTTAATTGAGCATGTGTTGTATTAACCTTGAAAGCATTGCAGGGCTTCTATTTTCAATTAATCTTCTAAAGGAGAAGCAGACAAATTAAAATGGGATGCAAACACAATGTTGCTGTCACAGAGTATTTC